ACGGTCGTGCAACAGCCGTCGCTTTAACTAGTGAACACTTCTCTTTAGTCGTGTTAGCGCTGTCGCTGTATTCGCCGGATGTGTGGACCGCGCACACACACACACACACACCTCAGGCCTAGAGCGCGACAGAATCGTGTTAAATCGTCGAAACGGACGCGGCGGCGGAAGCACGTGGCGCATATATGGCTGCCGCGCGGCTCTTCCGGCTCTCACGCGTTTGACGCGCTTCGATCTGGACCTGAACTCGGCTTGTATGTGAAGTTGGTGTTTTATGGTGAATACAGTCACCGCTAATGACCTACAGAAACCAGGGCTTCCTGCTATACTGGGCGAGACCGCGCGCCCACTGCAGGGTGACATCCGGAATCGAGGGCCACGTGACCGACTGGACCCGTCAGGAAAGACATCCGGGAACTCTGAGGACGCTTGCTATGCAGTGTCTAGTGATGGGGACTCTGGCTGTTTAGGGGTCCGGATCATTTGGCTCCGCTCGGCTCCCAAACAGCTCTTTATTTAGTTACCCTGTCTTTTATAATTCAGCCAAATGTGTCAATGTTTTGTCCTGTGTCTGGTATGTGTGCACAAATATAAATAAATTATTCAAAGTAATTAAACTAAACCATTTACACAATAAACAGCATCTGGCTTTTAAATCCCTGAGACTAAGAACATTACTGAACACATTCTGTGTGTAGATTTTAAGTTTCGGCACAATCTTTTTATTGGCTTTCTTTAAGCCTTATATCCGCGCAGTCCAGTATGGATGGACGTCTGCTTCATGTGCAGTGATCTATGAGCGTAACCGTGATGGCAGCCGCAGAACTGCTGCGTTCGGCCTGCTGTTGCTCCGTGCAGCACAAGTGTGGGCCTTATTAACCTCATCTGTGCTGCAGACGTCTTCAAACGCTTCATGCACACCTAATGTTTAATCAGTATGATGAAAGCAAGTTTTCTTGTGTCTCTCAGAACTATGGCTGCCAAAACAGAGCGCACCTTCATTGCCATTAAACCCGACGGTGTCCAGAGAGGCCTGATCGGAGACATCGTCAAGCGCTTCGAACAGAAGGGCTTCAGACTCGTGGCCATGAAGTTTCTTCAGGTTGGTTCACATCTGGAATGAAGATCACTGAATCACTTCATATTCCACGTTCAGTGCATTTCATCAGAAACCTGCTAACTCTGTGTAATGTAATCCATATACATTCATTTAAACTATTTACTGATGATTTAAAGATGGTAAATAACATGCATAGTTCCTGCAATTAAATGTATATTTGACGTAATTTATTAAAATTTAGAAATTTGACAATTAATTAAACTTAATCTCTATTAATTTATACTCCAGATGCCATTATTATTAGATACCTGTAACCGTATTAAAGAAACCTGACATTGTAAACACTAATTAACAGTGCATTCTGTCACCAACACATTTAACAGCTGGAGTTGCCAGTGTTTGTAAAGTTCATGGAATTAAATATTTCTTAGATCTTCACAGACTTGATGTAAAGGCTTTTGTGCCGTGCTTTAGTTTGTGTCTTTGTGAAACATGAGTAAATCTCATGTGCAGAGCAGATGGTCCTGACTGAAGTGTGTAGACCTGCTGCTCGTCTGTATCTGATGCAGTGTGTTCACAGGGATTGGGAAGCTTTGGGAGGTTCAACCAGTGAACGTTAGGTTCAGTCTGGTGGCTAGGGGTGTTGTTTTACAGCTGGATTGCGCTTCTGAATTAATGAAGCAAGCCTTTTAAGGGGCATCCTAAGAGGTTACGTTCTGCTGAAATGATGCAGATGGCTAACGGTTTGCTCGCGGCTGTGATCTGACAGGCGTCTGAGGACTTGCTGAAGCAACACTACATTGACCTGAAGGACCGGCCTTTCTATCCTGGACTGGTCAAGTACATGAGCTCTGGGCCGGTCGCTGCAATGGTACGTGCTCTTCATCAGCTACGGCAAGCTGTCTACCATGTGGGCCCAATTGATTTTTAAAGTACACTTTCTCATTAGGTATGGGAGGGTCTGAATGTTGTGAAGACTGGAAGGGTGATGTTGGGAGAGACCAATCCTGCGGACTCCAAACCCGGCACCATCAGGGGCGACTTCTGCATTGAAGTGGGCAGGTGAGTGTGTGTGCTGCTTTTCCAGGGGCCTATGAGCCCCGTTTAGTTAGCTAGCCAGGTAAGGTTTAGTTTAGTTTGCACCAACCCTGGGTTTTAGTCACCATGAAGGTTTCCCGTTTTATGACACATCCTATAAGATTAATCAGATATCCTAGATACACAACAGTGTTAATTTCGTTTATGAATAATTTGTCAATTTCAACAGACTCCAATGCACCGGTGTTAGATTAATCTGCACACATGAACATGACCGTGCTAGTCTGATGTGTAACTCTAACCATGCGCTGAACAATGGGCAACTAAAGCACAGAGAATTCACTACATTCTGTGACCGCCCTGTTCTCATAATGTTATGTGTATATGGCAGATTGGCGCTGTACAGAAGTGTTCATGATCAAAGTGATTCCAGGCATCACTGTGGCCTTTCAAATCCCACTTCACTTTATTCCCCGGGCTGGTCTAACGCTAACAAATCAGACCTCAGCTACCGCCCAAAATGCCACATTAACCAATCAGGAAAAAAGGAGGTATATAATGTATATGTGTGTGTATATATATGTTTGTATGTGTGTGGGTTTTTTTTTTTTTGTTTTTTTTTTATTTTTTAAAAGCGAGGGTAATCATCGTTATCTTGATCTGTTGTCGCTGTCATGTCCCGAGTATTCATGCCCATTTTTATCTGGTACCGCCATTAGGCCTCCAGTAGGAGCTATGAAGATGAGAGAAGGCGATAGCCAGATGACTGACCCTTTTTTTTTTTTTTTTTTTTTTTTCCCCAGGAACATCATCCATGGCAGTGACTCTGTGGACAGTGCAAATAAAGAGATCAGTTTGTGGTTCAAGCCTGAGGAGCTGGTGGCTTACAAGAGCTGTGCACAAGACTGGATCTATGAGTAAACTGCAGACTAACTGTGAAAGCACCGAATCGATGCCTTTCTTCCCAGACCAGTTATCAGTAATGGACTTGAGTTTGTTTGTTTGATCTTGTCTTTTCTGAAGCACTTAAAATATAAATCAAATAAATCAAGACGTCCCACATTTGTTTTGGAGTCATTTTAATACTTAATTCTTAAAAGCACAGTGAATGTCCATGCTAGCTTTGTTTAGGTTTTTTTTTATTATTTTTTTTTCCATCCTTACATGCCATTACACTATACAATTGGCGAAACAACCAAGGTAGACCGGGTTGCCAGGCCTGCAAAACAAAACCAGCCCAATTGCTAATCAAAACTAGCCCAAACCTAGGCCAGTCATGTTTTTTCACATTGCTTTCCCTTCCATATAAATCACGTCACAGGGGAGGGGGCGCTTTAACCCGTGGATTAAAAAACAACTCGCAGCAACCGTGTAAAAGTAACCCAACACTTGGCAACGCTGGCCAGAAAAGCGTCCACCTGAATGGACGTCACGTTTTTTTTCAATGATGTACAACTCATTGATGGGACTATCCAGTCTGAATCCTTGTGCTTCTTTCCTAATACTAATACATTCATGGGTCATATCTGATCTGTGTCACATGGGAGGAAGAAATCAGAATTGGGTCACTTGACCCATGTAATGTAAATGTGGCCACAATGTCCTCCAAGGGTTAGTATATTCACTGAGAAAAGTAAAGTACTTGAGACTGATCCCTGTGGCACTCCGTACTCAATTTGTTTGGACTGATACCTTATCCTTAAAGGGGACATCAAATGCAAAATTCACTTTACTTGCTGTTTGCATGTACTGTAAATGCGTGTGGACACAACCACCCTACAATGATAAAAACCATTTACTGCCACTGATGGACTGTCCTGTATTAGCATATCGGAGCCAGTTGTATGCTGTCCGCCATTCCACGCTCGAGCAGCTGTAGTGACAACAACGTCTTGAAAGCAATGCAGGTGTTTTGTATTTGGATGTAAAATTGAACACGAGTCTTTATTTTCTCCTGACATCAGAGCCACTGAGGACGCAGTGAATTGGTTTTATTTTTGATGGTAATACACCACCAAATACTCAAAAAATGGAAGAGAGGGGTGGGATGAGCAGAGCTCATTATCATTTAAAGCGGCATGCACTGAAATGGGTCGCTGTGTTCAGAGCTGTTTTTGACCAGATAAAAGTGTTTTACATGACCATTGAGGAATTTTAACTAAAGTATGTTGCAGACAGTTCATAAAGACCCTAAAGGATCATGCCAACTTGTGGAAGATGGGCATCTGATGTCCCCTTTAACACAAACTAGTAGCAGCTGGGTAATAGACCATGGTAATGCCTGTCCACAAATGGCAACATAATTCTCCAGCCTATTCAAAAGAATGTCGTGGTCTGTAGTGTCAGTCTGATAGTACTAGAAGAGAGGCAGCCAAGGTCAGATGATACAAGCAAGTCATTTGTAACTGAACCTGAGAGGACACGACCAACCAAAGGTATAGGATCCAGAATACATGTAGTTGGTTTTGATGCTTTAAAGTTTTGCTAGTTCTTCCTCTCCTGTAGCATCAAATGACTGAAGTTGTTCACAGGGTAAGAATATCCAGCAAGAGGAAGCTATAGAACAGGGGTGCCCAAACTCGGTCCTGGAGGGCCGGTGTCCTGCAGAGTTTAGCTCCAACTTGCCTATAGAAGCTTATGCTGTCCTTGATGAACAAAGCAACAAGTCGTTGACAGGAGAAAAATGGAATGCAATACACCTTGAAAACATATGAATCACTAATTCATAGACTCCAAATGATGTCATCAGCGCAAGATGACAACGGCCATACAGTGAAGGAAGAGGAGACTCGTCATCCATCTTTTCTTACAGTCTAAAGGTCCCAGGTAGTAAGTATTTTTAAAGTGCTTATTTAACAAAGGCCTGGGACACACTAGACTATTTTCAAATCTTAACCGATTTTAAAACCATGGGAGACCACAGACATTAAGACAGTTTCAACCGATATTTAGCCTTATAATCCTCTGAACGCGCACACTAGACGATTCGAGCAGACCACGAGACCACACACTTGTTGATTGTAGGAATGATTTCACAGTGATGCTTGCTCTCACACTGAAAAAAACACTTTTCTAAAAATGCTTAAATCAAGAAGGATTTTCTTGACAAGTAACAATTATTGGCTTGTTTTCAGAAATAAAACAAGTCAAAATTAAGTGAGTTTTTTCTTGAAACAAGCAAAATAATCTTGTTTTCTGTTTGAAATAAGATTATTTTGCTTACCCCACTGGCTTTTATTTTGCTTGTTCTAAGCAAAAAGTCACTTAATTTTTACAGGAATGCTAAGGGATTAAGACCCGTTTCAAGTCACCATTATTTGTATAGCGCTTTATACAATGCTGATTGTGTCAAAGAGGAAAATAGTTTGTCAATAATGCAAGAGGACAATGACAGTCATTTTTCAGCTAAAGTCAGTTCATTGATGATTCAGTGTCATCATCCAGTTCAGCTCTCTTCCAATTTCAATATAAAGGGACAGTGGTATATCAGCACGAGGAGTGTGCTGACCTTGTTAATATGATTTTGAGTGGGCCATGTTGTGAAATAACAGGGATAGAAATCACATTGGTGTTAGCAATCACATCACATTAACACATAATTTGTTTATTAAAAGTTTTCAAATACAACAAAATTCTAACTATTGCAAGTCAAACAACAGTGCCATTTAAAGGGGTCATATGATGCGATTTCATGTTTTCCTTTCTCTTTGGAGTGTTACAAGCTCTTGGTGCATACAGAAGATCTGTAAAGTTGCAAAGACTAAAGTCTCAAATCCAAAGAGATATTCTTTATAAAAGTGAACGCTTCCTAAAACGCCCCCACATGTCTACGTCACTGTGTGGGAAGATTTGCAGGAAAACATATCTTTGGATATTGCAGTGGTGACACAATGGCACTTGGAAGAAAGAAACTGTAATATCACAAACATTATTAAATTAAGCTTAAACATAAACATAACAGTTTAAACAGTGTATAACTGCATTATACACCTAAACTGGATTTTGGTTTTAAATCGATTTACTCATCCCATCCAAGATGGTGTCTTGCTTTCTTTAGTAGAACGGGAATTTCCTAAAACTAGTTTCTAAACTTTTTCTATTTCAGCCACCAGGGAACGTAAGAGAGTATGTCTCAGCTTGGAGATTTCTCAGTGCCAGAGAGTTTTTTTCACCTGAAAATCCTGATTTCTGTACATCCGGGTTCAGAAGATGTGAGCCAATATATCTGTTTCTTTAATGTTTGTAGAGGTTTGAAGACAGAAACACGTCCCCTTGGAAATGCCTGAACTCATTACTAATAAATTTTCTCTGGATTTGCCTTGTGTTGAATGAACTCTGACTTGTCAAAACTCTACACTCCACATCTTATGAAGAGCAGTTTTATCAATGCTTTGCACACATTTTGGACTGTAAAATGACGATATAATTGTTAATGATTGAAACTTGTTCACTCTGTAAATATGATACATCTTAGTTCGGGATTGGTGGCTCTTCCCTCAGTAGTCACCTTTATTTATATAGCGCTTTTAACAATACAGATTGTGTCAAAGCAACTGAACAGCATTAATTAGGAAAATAGTGTGTCAGTAATGCAAAAGGACAATAGTAAACACTCAATTTTCAGTTAAAGGCAGTTCATCATTGAATTCAGTGATGTCATCATCCAGCTCAGTTCAGTTTAAATAGTAGGCTATCTGTGCAATCAAGTCGACGATATCGCTGGATATGAAGTGTCCCCAACTAAGCAAGCCAGAGGCGACAGCGGCAAGGAACCAAAACTCCATCGGTGACAGAATGGAGAAAAAACCTTGGGAGAAACCAGGCTCAGTCGGGGGGCCAGTTCTCCTCTGGCCAGACAAAACCAGCCGTTCAATTTCAGGCTGCAGCAAAGTCACATTGTGCAGAGGAATCATCTGGTTCCTGTGGTCTTGTCCCGGTGGTCATCTGAGACAAGGTCTTTACAGGGGATCTGTATCTGGGGCTCATCTAGTTGTCCTGGTCTCCGCTGTCTTTCAGGGCTGTAGAGGTCATTTCTAGGTGCTGATCCACCATCTGGTCTGGATACGTACTGGATCCGGGGGACTGCAGTGACCATCTGATCTGGATACAGACTGGATCTGGTGGCTACGGTGACCTCGGAATAAGAGAGAAACAGACTAATATTAGCGTAGATGCCATTCTTCTAACGATGTAGCAAGTACATCGGGTGTTAAATGATGAAGCATTAGGACTCTTACACAGGAACACTAACAGATTATGGTCGGTATATATTTTATTAGGAAATGAGCTTCCACTCAAATAAACTTCGGAAAATTTGAAGTGTCTTAATACCATCAATAATGCACATCATTGTTGATTTTGATTAGATTTTTTTTTTTAAGTGGTTCAATATTTTCATCTGACTTTTGTAAGAGTACTGCTCCCACACCAACAGCACTCACATCAACCTCTGTTTGAAATTCATGTGAGAAGCAAACTGGGGCATTAAACAGGAGATCCTTAGCTCCAGTGAAAGCATATTCACACTAAGATGATCAGGAAATCTGTCAGCGATGCAACTGATGTGACAAAATTACGACCAAATCTGATTCAAATCTGATCAATGCTGATCTCGTAAACAGTTTTTAGCAGTTTTACCTGCCCCTGTTTTCCAAGGTTGCTTTAGCACACTTGACTGATTGCACAGACACTATTGAAGAGAGCTGAACTGGATGATGACATCACTGAATCATCAATGAACCGACTTTAGCTGAAAAATGACTCTGTTATTGTCTTCTTGCATTACTGACAAACTCTTTTCCTGTTTGACTCTGTAAAGCTGCTTTGACACAATCAGTATTGTATAAAGCACTATACAAATAAAGGTGACTTGACACACTTGCATTTCTTTATATTCACTGTCAACAATGCCCTATTTACTAACCACTGATTATTCAAATGAGAGAATAATTCCTTCATCGTATTCATATGTTCTTCCCATGTGGCAATATCATTAAAGTACACCTCAAAATTAGCTACATCTTGCAGCACTAGGCACATCAGGCGCTGAAAGGTGGCAATCTGCATGTTAATGCCATGTCTGACACGAGTCATATCATTTCAGATTTTACAGGATGCTTGTATTCTGCAGAGACAGTTTCCATCCTTCAAAGGATGATCCATCCAGTTAAAAGGACTACAGTAGCCACAGTTCTAGCTGCTGTTTCTTTTATTTTCTCTCTGTCATGGCTTTACATCAACATATTAATGTGACAGGTATGCAGCTCACTTCTGTGCTCTGGTCTATGAGTTACATAAGACGTATCACTGACCTTACTCTCTATGACATATCTGTAGCCAATACTGAAATGTTTTTAGCGTTGTTTAAAGCATTTGATGGAAATGCTCTAGTGCTCCCTGCGACTGGGGGTGATACAGTACAAGCTAGTTGTCACATTGTCAGTTTGTCCAGCATCTGTCACATGTCTGTTGTGTTTTGATTTAGTTCTGTTCTGTCTCCCAGTCGTGATTTAATCAGGTTTAGTTTGTTCCCTCAGCTTCTGATTCCATTCACCTGTTGTATTAATTTTGCCATTAGTTCTCCTTGTTATTTAAGTTCTTTGTTCGGTCTTGTCTATGGTAAATGTGCAGTGTGTTGCTCTGTTTCCCTTGTTTATGAATACTCCTTGTTAAAATTCCTCATCGTGCACTTAATTTGGATTGTGCTACACTGTACCATTACATCTGCCTGAACAATTTTGACATAAAACTAGTATGACGGATGGTTTGTATTACCCGTCTTTGCTTTTTTACCCGTCTTTGTCTTTGCTGCACATATGTCAGGCCAGTAAAAATATTTAGATACATGCTTCAAAAATGTATTAACTCCAAAGTGCCCTGCCATTATTTGATCAGCCTCCTTGTCTGATCAGGACGTCCTTGTCCCAATAATAGCCTGCTCTCAGACCATCCAGTTTACTTCTTTCAGCGACCGCAGCATCCACACAGGTTGATAATGACGAGTCAGACCTCTGAACAACACTGAGCTCCTCCTGTCCTAACTGAATCATTGCCATCCTAATAGCATCAGCATTGACAGCCTCTTTAACTGGACCATCCACTGACAGTGCAAGCTCTGAAGGATTTGATCAGACACGTCATCTATTTCTTACATTTTCGCCTCTGTGAACACAGATTTGCAGAGCTATGTTTGAATCACACAATTCTTAGTCACTACTGGAGAAGGAAAACTTTATCTCCTGCCAGAGTGTTTTCGAGGATAAATTGTTCTTCATCCACAGGACGTTTGACAAACAACTACCTTCACTAAATCTGAGTTTAGTTTATGGAAAGAATTGGAGCTCAACGCCTCAAACTAGTGCATCCGATCCTGTGTAAGCTTCAGTTGATAGAGGCAGTAGTTCCTGCCTAATGAAAGATTGGGTGGCACCGGTATCCCACAAAATCAACCGGTTATCTTCATCAACCCAATCAGAAACAGTTCTGTTTGTGAGGAATGGTTTAATCACAGCTAAATCTGTCTACTCTGGTTTTGTCCTATTCTCTCTTGAGGTAACTCCTGTGTGCTACTTGTTTATTTTAGCCACATTCTTTTGTTTTTCGAAGACCGATTTATGTGTTTGCACAGTTTTACTAGGCATCGTCTTCATGTTTTGTTTTTGACGTGTCACTCATCAGCCAGAACCACTGCCTCTGATAAAAATGATAACTTCTGATCATTAAGATGCACTACTAAACTTTACTAGGACTGTTGCCAATCAAATGAAATCAGTATCAACAAAATCCATCTTACCATTTATCAAAATCTATTTACACTGAAATGACAATAGCAGAAATAATGTTATGAGATACATTTTTTTAAAATAACATTTTGAATATAGGATTATGATATGTTGGAAACGTATTGTTTATTAAACTGTTGTATAAAAGGAATATCACATGCAATCAAGCCGATAGTAGAAGACCAAGATCAAATGGTTTAATTTTTATTAATTTCATTATCTATATTTGCAATGCCTCCAGACAGCTCATCCAAGACCAAGTCCTATCTAAATGAATGGGGGAATCCTGAAATCTCAAAAACTGCCCGTGAACTCACAAATAAATTACATATTTCAAATCATCAACAAAATCTGAAATGAACTGCCCCATGAATGTTGTTTCTTATGCTCAAATAGCATTAAAAAAATTATTTTTGAGCTTTTTAATGATCACTTATGACTGCGAATGCACATTTGCTGGTCTAGCCTCAGGCTTCTGTGGGAACCAGAGCTTCTACCGGCCGCTGCAGTGACGCAATGACTATTAGCTCTTTCATTTGGAATGCGTTGCAGTTCCTCCCATTTGTAAGTATAGGATGGAACCGTCCATCTTTCTACAAAGGCACTACTCTGACTAGCTTCACACGGGGCACCGCTAAATGTAGAGATTTCAAATCTAAGTAGCACCACCAGTGTAATGGATTTGGGCTTAAATATTAATGTTAATATTTCGTTTTGGTCACACTTTTTGCAGGGGAACCAGCCAGGAGTTTCACCTTGACAGTAAAGAGCAACCATGTAAGATTGTTAAACAAATAAGAATTACATAAATTGGAGGAAGTTATAGTCTGACCAATCTGAAGGATTGTAGAGAATCGTTAACTTGTAGAACTTCTTACTGAATTATCAACACAAGGAAGACACAAGTGTAATAAAGGGTTTTTTTATTAACAAAAGGATAGACAAGAGTAACTAACAACTAATTGGGTACAAAGAATGGATAAAGTGCAAAAAAAAAAAAGGTTTTCAATGTCTTTAAGGTTTTTCCTATGCATAATTCACTTTCCAAACCAATTCCAGATTAACCTACACAAAATATGAAGACCAAACATCAATGGGTGATGATGAACATTGACCCATGCATTCATATATACAGCAGATACCTTAATAGGTAAGGTTGCATACATTGTTGTATCACACACAGCAGTCATTAAGTATATACAGTTCTATAAATGGATTTGAAGAAGGTTTAATCAATTGTGTGTCCACTTTGTGTGAACGCATGTGAAGATGTGTCCTTTCCAGAACCAGTTTGGTGAGTCCTTCACACTTAGGTCTCAAGAATGAAGGACTGTGATCAGTGAAAAGGCACGTGGTGATCAGATCAGTCTTTGATCAGTGGAATGCTGAAGTCCTCATTCCTGTCTTCCACACATGATAAGCTTGAGGGAGAACAAAGCAGTTCCTGAACAGAGATTACTGTATGTTAATGTTAGCCCCCTCTCCACAAGAGGTAGTGTTGTTTATCTGAAGACAAAAGTTATTCTTTGGTCCACAAATCCTGATCAAATCAAAATGAAGCTTTTCAGTCGTCACCTGCTGTCCACTACAAGTGTAAATTCATCATTTAATTTCCCTTATTTTCAGTTTCATTAAACATTTTAGTTAAAATAAATAAATAAAACTGCAAGTTTAGAATGACACATTGTCTTTCTTTATTGTGTAGCGAAATTTATCCCCTTGTGCCACCTATAGTGTCCACCCAGGGCTAATACTGTACCATATGCAGATACCATAGCATATTAAAATTATGATATTGTGGCTATGATATATAGTCTACTTTACACCCCATGCTTATCAATGAAAATGTATTTGTTTATGTATTCATTTATTTTTGTGGATGTGCAGAAGGCAGTGGTGTAAAGGTTTTCAATAAATGTGATTACGTAAGTATCTTTTTGGCTACTTTGTAATTGGATGGAACATCATTGATATTAGCCACATTTACACTCTGCACGGCTACATTTTTTCATGAATACAGGTTTTTACTTTCCCTTTTAATGAAAGTCTGTTCACTCAGCTGCCATGTTTGCCAAGACTATCCGAATGGCAAAATCCTAAAAATCTCAACAACAAAAACCAAAAACCAGCAACACAATCTGACATGAACTGTCTCATAAATGTTGTTTCCTATGCTCAAATAGTGTGGGACTTTTATTTAGAAGGCAGAACTTATTCCGCCAAATTTGGCGTGGCTCTTCCTCTCTTTCTTAGTAATAAGAGTGCACCATCTTGGTATATCTGAATATATAATCTATTTACATTTACACTTCTCAAACAGTTCTTCTCGCTGTGTTGGATAAGAAACAGGTAGCACGTTGATCTGCCAGACGTGGGTCTTTCATGCGGAGAACAACTATGTTTTTTGCATTATGATGCATTTAACAGTAAATGGCCAAACATCTGTTCTGCTACTGTGCTGTTTGTATCTTGATAAAAGTTCACAATGTTTTTTTTTTTGTTGTTGTTGTTAGATTGTGAGAACTGCAGTATCTTTGAGCCTACAGTCTAAATACTAGTTAAGTACTATTAAAATCAGATTCTCTAAGCCTCAAGTGATATTGGGCGTGTGTTTTGCAGGTTATCTTTACACCTCTGGTGGAAGGCATTCCAAAATCCCTGCTCAGAAACCATCTGAATCTGAAAGAGACCCTTCTGTAATTTGATGCAGTATTCAGTGGTTTTCTTTGATTGACACTGTCACATCTACCTATGTTTCAAAGGGTGATGTTCCTTCTCTGACACACTTCTGTTCCTCTTACGTATTGTCACTGTGTCTAATTTGCACTAGCCTAGCCTGTCAGACTTACTTGACTACTTTTGGGAGCCGTGGCCAATCCCTGTGTGTGTTAAAGGAAAACATGTTCAACTGGACAGGCTCGCACAGCCATACACAAGACACCATGCACACAGAGACCTGCAATGTCAAGACAAAAAGATTCACTGCACACCAATAAAAGAGGAGCATAATTCAACATTCAACAAAACATCTGAAACAAATCAGAGGTAAGTCAGCTATATGAGCTTTGAGAATGTCCTCACTGTGCTGCTGTGGATCTGTCATATTCATAAAGACTGCTTTGCTTTCAGTATAGCTTTTGAAGGCTGGTGTTACTTACTAGAGTTTATAACCATGATATCAAAAATCATTATCACAGTTCTCAACACAAATCCATTTCATTGTTAAAGTATCAATTCATTAAGCTTTTATTAGTGTTCAGGTTCAAGTGTTTTATGTATTTATTTAACACGTAGAGTTGGACTGTAAAGACTGTCTATTAGTGTTCTTCCATGCAGTCAGGGTGTTGGTTTGGAGTCTACACTTCATCAGATCGTGATGAACATCAACCAGACGTTGTTAAACCTGATTTACAGCATTTTACAAAATGTTTGTGCACATGACCTTTGTTCTGAGATATGTCTGCACATTTAATTCCACATGATTGTGCGTTCATAAACCAGGCACCTCCCTGTGAAAAGTCCAGCTTACACGTCCCATGCTGGTTAATGCTGGTTTAGTGCTCGTGTTTGGTCATGATTGACAGTGTGATATCTATGCCTGCAGTGCTCATGGAATTCTAAACTATTAGCGGAGAAACTACTAGTCACTGGAAATACTCAAGCAGCCATATTAGTTTTCCAAACCACCACGGGACAGCAATGCCTGACAGCCCATGCCATGACCTAAACTGACCCGTTGTTCTGCGTACCACATGAAAGTTTTCAAACGTTTTTGATTGTAAAGTGATTGTTACTACAGATGTCTGTAATGTTTAACATCAATTTGCACACAAAGCAATATATAGAAATAGTTCAAATGCGTATGCCTACTGCACACTGCTGATCGACACCAAACACAAAATACATTTCTGTTTGTATGTAGTTCTGCAGGAAATTTTGAACATGACCATTTATATGGAATTATTAGAAACCGAGTCAAATACCACTCGTCATCATGAAAACACATTTTCAAGCCCACACGCAACAGTCGGTGTTCTTTCTCTGATTAAGGTGTGATGCAGTCCCGATGTAGTTCATCTACATTACAGTAAACAGGGAAAATTACACACTCTAAATAAGCAAGAAATATGATTTCAGTTTACATCTTGATTTTATGTTTTTTTTTACATCCAGCATTTTAATGTCAATTAGAGTTATATTATTTAAATCAATAATAATTCATTGAAAACTGTGGCCCCGGTAGACAACAGCTACCCCAGAGTCACAGGTTGATCATTTTTCAACACTTGGATATGTTGTGTTTTCTAGGCAGTCAAAGAAGCACAAGATGGCCCAGCTGGACAGTGATCTTTTCTCTGAGCAGGAGCTGACCTGCTCCATCTGCCTGGATCTCTTCAGTAAGCCTGTTTCCACGCCATGCGGACACAACTTCTGCCAGGGCTGCATCGGGGGCTACTGGGCCTCCAGCTCCGTCTGCACCTGCCCACTGTGCAAACGGGTGTTTGAGGAGCGCCCTGAGCTCAGCATAAACCGTGTGTTTGCACATATCACCCAGAAATATAAAGAGATGCACTATGATGGGCCTCCTCAACCGAAGCCAAGGCAAAAAGCGGTTATTACCGGAGCTTTGCTAGCTGATGCAGAGCAGATTTTATGTGACGTCTGCAGTGGCAAGAAAAAGAAAGCTGTCAGCTCCTGTCTGACGTGCACTGCGTCATACTGTGAGATTCATGTACTGCCACATCAGCAGACGTTGTTCTACGCCTCCCATCAACTGCTGGATCCTCATGAGGCCCTGCGAGGCCGAACCTGCCAGGAGCACCACCGGCTGATGGAGGTTTACTGTCGCACGGATCAAAAGTGTATTTGTGCGATCTGTGTGCTGGAGGAACACCGCACACACACCACAGTCTCAGTGCAGACAGAACGCGCTAGCAAGCAGGTAACCGTTTCTCTTTTTAGAATAATGATAATGTGGAAACATGTTTTCACTGCAGCTCAAAACTACAATGGCAAGAGACAAGAAGGGATAGATCATCCAAAAATGATAATTCCGTGTCATTTTTTTACTCACCCTCAAGTTGTTCCAAACCTGTATCAGTTTCTTTCTTCAGAATAATATTCAATTTTCCATTTAAATATAAAAATATGAATATATATATATATATATACTATGGAAGTCAATGGCTAACATCAACTGTTTGGTTACATTTGCTTCATAATATCTTCAAAAATATCTTCTTTTGTCTTCAACAAAAAAAAAAAATCTCATACAGGTTTGGAATGACATGAGGTTTAATAAATGATGACAGAATTTTCATTTTTGGGTGAACTATCACTTTAACATTACTAATCTATATTTAGGAGCAGAGCACTAAAGGTGCTAAAAAACACCTATTGTTTTTCTTAGTGTTCTTTTTATCATTGTATTTGTTGTTCTTCCTCTTAGTGGAGCTTGCTTTCTTTCTTTTTTTCTCCACCTTTATTTGTATAGCACTTTATACAAAACTGGTTGTGTCAAAGCAGCTTTACAGTGTCAAACAGGAACATACTGTAGTTGGTCAATAATGCAAGAGGACAATAACAAAGAGTCAATTTTTCAGCTAAAGTCAGTTCATTGATGATTCAGTGTTGTCCTCATCCAGTTCAGCTCTCTTCAATAGTTTCTGTGCAATCAAGTCAACAATATCGCCAGAAATTAAGCGTCCCCAACGTACCTCGGAATAAAAGAGAAACAGACTAATATTAGCGTAGATGCCATTCTTCTAGCGATGTAGCAAGTACATCGGGTGTTATGGAAAGTGTTCCCGGTTCCGGTTGACCTAATTAATGCAGCCTAACAATACTTTAACGGATTTGAATATTAGAAATGTGTTAGTGTGTTATGTGTATGCCAGGTTAAAGAGATGGGTCTTTAATCTAGATTTAAACTGACAGAGTGTGTCTGCCTCCCGAACAATGTTAGGTAGGTTATTCCAGAGTTTGGGCGCTAAATAGGAAAAGGATCTGCCGCCCGCAGTTGATTTTGATATTCTAGGTATTATCAAATGGCCAGAGTTTTGAGAACGCAGTGAATGTGGAGGACTATAATGTGATATGAGCTCGCTCAAGTACTGAGGTGCTAAACCATTCAGGGCTTTATAAGTAATTAGCAAGATTTAAAAATCTATACGATGTTTAATAGGTAACCAGTGCAGTGTTGACAGAACCGGGCTAATATGGTCATACTTCCTGGTTCTAGTAAGAACTCTAGCTGCTGCATTTTGGACCAGCTGGAGTTTATTTATTAAGCGTGCAGAACAACCACCCAATAAAGCATTACAATAATCTAACCTTGAGGTCATAAACGCATGGATTAACATTTCTACATTTGACATTGAGAGCATAGGTCGTAATTTAGATATATTTTTGAGATGGAAAAATGCAGTTTTACAAATGCTAGAAACATGACTTGGTAACACTTTATAATAACTTTCATGTATAAATCATTAACAAACATTCTATAATGCTTAACAGATCATTAGTTAATATACAGTATATTCACATATCTACAAATATGAGATCATGTTCTTGTTAATGCTCACAAATGTCAGTAAACTTTCAGTTCATATGATCTTCATTTGTTGGTTTTGTTTGTTGTGTAGACCTCTATTTACACATCTTAACAAATAATCTATTAATCATTTGTTCATGTTTTTGCAGCAGCCAATCTAAAGTGGAAATTCTTGATCATTTGTAAATGTTTATAAACGATTACTAATCATTTAGTATCTTTACGGGGATTGGACTTTTAGCTGCTTTATGAAGGTTTGTGTAAAGGGTGGCAGGTTAAGTTTAGCTCAATGCTTACTAAAGACATAACAGATTGTAATTTTGGTGCAAAAATGTTTGGATCACCTCAACACTCACATTAGTATGCTACTCTTCAATATATCATTAAACAGGACATTCCTTGAATCATAAATAAACAGGGGAAAACTCATTTTTTAAAAAGAAAATACTTGTTCATTTGTCAAAACAATATAATGTAAACAGATTGAACCGTGTTCCCTTATAATAACCACATTGACCCCTGTACACTTCTGACTCCTTAACCAACCCTTAAACCAACCCATCCCACCAAACCTGTCCCTAACTTACCCGTGTCAAACCTCAACAGCAGCTAAAGTGTTGTGCATTAACACAAGTTTTTAATCATGGCATAACATCTGTTAAAATCACTTGTAGATTTTCAATGACTGCTTGATCATATGAATTAGAAGTTTAATGACATTTGTAAGCATTTTAACTTTCATGAAATAATGATTTGTTTGAACATTATCTAATGTTTAATACGTTTATTAGCAAACATTAACAAGCACATTATCTCACGTTTCTAACTCTTTGAATATATATTAACTAATGATCCATCAAGCATTATATAATGTTCGTTAATGATTTATTAATGAAAGCTATTATAAAGTGTTACCCATGACTTTCAAAGGAAATAATTTACACTTTATTTCGATAGTCCTAGACATTCTACTAACTGTAAGTAACACTGCAACTACATGTCAACTAACTTTTTAGCATTTGTAGCCTGTTAGGTTAGTAGAATAAGTTGCCGTATTTGCAAAGTTACTTATAGTCAGTAGAACATCTGTTGAGCAACCATCAAAATAAAGTGTTAGTAGATATTAAGCAGAGAGTCTACTAATACTATAATGACTGCTGGTTGACATGTAGTGGCAAATTTGTTTATAGGTAGTAGAATGTCTAAAGTGGACTTAAAATAAAGTGTTACCAGGACAGATTGCAATCAAATAACACACCTAGGTTCCTAACTGATGACGAGGAATTGACAGAGCAGTCATCAAGTGTTAGACCGTGTTCCAGGTTATTACGTGCGGAGGTTTTTGGTCCAATAATTAACATATAATTAACAATAATTACCATAATTAACAAATGCATAGTTTTGCGAACTGAAATGTTTCGTTGGGCCGCAAAGAAATATAGAGCTGAGTATCATCAGCATAGCAGTGAAAGCTAACACCGTGTTTTCTGATGATATCTCCCAAGGGTAACATGTAAAGTGTGAAAAGCAACGGTCCTAGTACTGAGCCTTGTGGCACTCCATACTGTACTTGTGATCGATATGATATCTCGTCATTTACTGCTACGAATTGATGATGGTCAAGATTTGAACCATGACAATGCAATTCCACTAATGCCAACATAATTTTGTATTCTACTCAAAAGAATGTTGCTGTAGCAAAGCATCACTGTTATTATCTCATATTCTTGGTCTGGACAAAACTTTGACACCTTACTCATCCCACACCATTGAGCTATGATTCTGTATGTATGATTGGAGAGCAGATGACTCTTTAAGCTTTTGAATCGCTCTCGTGGTATTTTGATGTCATACGCAGATCGGTCTGTGCAGCGCCGATGCATCTCGAACAAGCCTGTTAACTCCATATACGAGATACATACTGTAACTGAGGAAAAATGCATTGTTGGTCAGTGCCACCTAGAGTGTAGGCGAGAATTAGCAGAAGGCGATCAATCGTTTCGCACTCGGTGTGAAAGTGCCTTTACACTGAAAAAAGCATCAGGGGAATATCTGTGGATCAGAACATTGTAGAGACATAGATGTGTTCTTGTGACACTTTTGACTTCCATGAAATGTTTAAATAACACCTAACCATAAAGAGAGACCTATGACCCAGCCGTATCATGGCATCCTCTGAGGCCTTTCAGGGCCACAGCTGTGTTTCAGCAGCAGAACATCATAGAGACAAGGTGTGGACTTTATCATTTATGGCTGATATTTAGTCCTTCACAGAAGACTGAGGGAAAGAGAGATTTTAAATCTAAGAGACTTCATTTTTTTTCTCACCTCATAGAGACTCCTGGGGAAAACAGAACTGGACCTTCAGACATGTATTGACAAAAGAAATGCCCAGCTAACTGAGCTGAAGAGCAAACTACATGCCTTGCAGGTATTTTAAAACTATAGTCAAGCTTTATTGTCATTGAAGTTTACAGCATACAGACGAATAAATCTTGTATAATTGTCTTTAATTGTGTGAAGAGCTATAGATTTAAAATTTACTGTGAAAAACCGTAAAAATTACTTTTTTACTGTTTTTTTTTAGTGATGTTTAATCATTTGTCACCACTTATTTCAAAAACTTTGCTAAAATCATTCTTTTAATAAACATCTGTACTGAAAATATTTTGAACTGTCCATTTGAATGGTGCTCATTATGTTTGCAGTGCAGGTTTGTCATGTACAGTGTCTTTCACAGAGCTACGCTCAGGCTGAGCTGTCCGAGGTGGAGCAGCTCCTGTCTGACGTCACACACTCGGTAGATCGCATCCGCAGCGAGCTGGTGGGCGGGATTGAGGAGAAGAGAGAGGCTGTGATTGGACGAGGACAAAGCATCGTCACCCAGCTCGAGACAAAGTTAGCGCAGCTGCAAGAGCGCAGAGGTCGACTAGAGGCACAGGCTATTTCAGATGACCATATCGGCTTCCTTCAGGTACAAAGATGCAGTCTTACAACAAATACCCGAGATTATGTGTGTGGTTTTTTTTTTGTTAACCACATCCATTCCTTCATCCTTTTATTGTAACCCATTCTCACTCCCAAGGCATCAAACACTGAATTACGGTCAAGTGCCTTGCATGTCACTATGAAGACACTACGTGTCACTACATCCACAAAGTAGGAACTTCATTACAAGTGCTTGTTTTATGCATCTCTCATCATTATAGTTTTCTGGCTAAAATGTCTCCACAAATGTCTTTATTTGTAGAATAAAACTGATTACATATTTAATTTTTTGCGTACATCTGTAAAATTTTATATTTATACTAGCCCCTAACCTAATGTAACATTTATAATAACCCCTAACTTAACCCCACCCGAACCCTCACAGAACAAGCAGATAAAAATACAACCACAGTAATGTACTGCAAAAGCTGACAAATATATATAATATAAAATATACAGTATATACATACACACACACAAACGATGCATGGTAGCCTACATTTCAAGTCTTCTGATGCCATACAATATCTTTATGTGAGAAACTTAAAATGAAATTTAAGGTTTTAACTGCTGAAAATGTTCATGCTCCATTAACGCAGTCACATCTCATTCAAAAGATAAATCTTTTAATATGATGCGATTGGTCACGAGTCAATGGCATTTTTCAGTCAAAGCTGACATACTGCTTCTTTAGGCGCGATTTTTGAATGTGTGGATGACTGAGCATTACAGCGGATGGAGACACGATCATTTTTGGGTCTTTTCCTCAAACGCTATGGTGTTCCTAGTTCGTCTATATAACAAAGCCAGGCGGTACCTTTAGGGTCTTAATAGTGATGTGCAAGGCACTTGAACATGCTTCAGTTTCTGATGACTTCGGAGTGAGAACGGGTTGTTTAGTCCTTCTCTGGTGGAAAGGTGAAACCATCACAGTGCGTCACAAAAACAGTATAAACAAAACTGTATTACTTTACAGTAATGGCATTACTTCTAAGCTGAACTGTAGGATATTTGATGTAAAATGAAATGAGGACCCAGACCCAGGTAAGTCTTCAACATTAAAAGGTCAACATCACCCTCTGATGCTACGACTGACAGCTCATCTTCAGGCTGAGCTGTGGCTAACGAGAAATAGATTGACAGAGAGATTAGATTCTGGTCAGCATGGGCTGGGCCCAAACAACTGTTGCAGTGATCGTGGCCATCTGAGGGAGAGACTGCATCCAGACGACCCACTGACGAAATGGCATCTTTAAAACAACATTTTTATCAGTGTGACTCTTTTAGAAGAAATTTCTCTTTCATGGAGAATTTCTGTTATTAGAGAACATTTTTCTTTGAACTGCTCGTTGAAAGAGAATTCTCTTGCACTTAATGGTGTGTGTGGGAGAGAGAACCGCTGAAATGTGCTGTACAGGAATCCAACAAAGCTTCTAGGCAGAGGTGAATGAAGAGAGAATCAAAGACACGTCTTCTCGGCACTGAAGAGCAAATCTGAATGAGTGGAGCAAGCTGCCTTTTATATACCTGTATGTCCGGAGGAGTGAAATGTAAATTCCCCTCGTCAGTTCTCATTGGTCTTTTCTGAAGTATCAGAGGTGTTTGGGGCTCCCAAGAGTGAGGCCTAGTGTCACAACATCACTGAGTGAGTGACAGATGACAAAAGGCCCAAGATGTTTGCATTTGCTATTTATATTAGGCATATTTATTTGAGTTTGTGCTCAACTGTTGTGATCAGATACGTGTTTACTGTCTCAGAGGGGAGTGTTGTTCTCAGAATAATTGAGGCAGAAAGGTGGACGAATGAGAGGCAAGGGGGACATCAACAATCTTTGTCTGGCTCTGACAGGGAGAGCATGTGCTAAATAAGTGTCATTTTGAATAATGTTGTATCTGAATTGCCCCTGTCACCCTACACACAAATGTTACAGCTGTCCTCTGAGTGGCAGAAGCTAGATGTGTGCATAGAATGATCTGCAGAAACCACAGATTGTGGATGAGGGGCAGGATCCCTAATGAACCAGATACTCGCTCAGTCTCATTACTACATTTCAGTATACCTCAACATACGGTGTTTTATCTTCATCGTGTTCCATTCCACCAGATTCTTTTTGAATATGATCATCTTTTTATGATGACAGAGTTTTGAGGAAGCCAACAGTCCCTTGCTGGACTCAGATATGGACATGCGTGAGGTGGATGAGCTGACCCTACGCTTCTCATTTGGGGACGTCAAAGCAGCTTTAGGAGAGATCCGGGAAAGACTGGATGACATACGCTGTGGGGAAGTGCATTACCGGCACTCTGGTGAGACACTGCCGTGTGATAAATGCAGTAACACCGCATTAGTTGCATTACATTGCATAGTGCTAAGGAACAGAATGACAAACACTTTGGAATACTGTTCCGTCATTAATAAATAACCACACAGGAACAAATGAGTAACACAATATTAACAGCACACTACGGTTAACTAACAAGAAACTCTATGGCAAGCCGTATATCCTGAGAATGAATAAAAGTCAAAACGGCTTGCCATAGCAACTCTGATTAACAGACTAGTAAGTAATAGCACTCAGTTAGTTCACTATTAACTAATCGGTAACTTTTTGCATTTTTAAGCATTTTGCATTTTCACGTTATTTATATATTGTTTCTTTGTAATTCTCTGGGAGGCATGAAAGAATAGTAGTTACTGATTAGCTGAAAGTGAACTACTGCATTGCTATTATTTACCTATGCTTTAATCAGAGCTTCTTGTAGTTCATAGTAGTTACTACTGCGTAGTTATTCATTGATGATGGAAGAGTATTTCAAAGTGTTACCACAGAATGCATGTGTGACAGAAAGTCACTTATGAAGAGAACCTTATAAGAGTGTCTTTGTATGTGTGTGGTTTCTATGGCAGTGTCGACATTAGCAGAGAGTGAGAGTATGATGAGTGTTCGATCAATGAAGAGGAAGGAGTGGTCACTGAAAGGTAAAGAAAAACACCTGAACCCACGCTGACTCTTACAAAATACATCTGTACCACTTCTAGTAGGAATATTGATGATCTTTCTCCAAAATCTTTCATTTTATGTTTTACAGATCTACGGAAATTAAAAATAGGTATGTATGTTTTTTAAGGCATCTATACATTTTTTTCAGTGTCTTTCTTTTAAAAGAGCTCAAGCAGCAGATTTTGTTAGATGTTGGATTTTGAGGATGTAGGAGTGTCAGGCTGAGTGCTTTCTCGTGTGCATTTCCCTTTCCCTTTCATCTACACGCTTATAGATATCATCAAAACAGATTCTTAGGTTCTTCTTTAGAATTAATTATGTCTACAGTCAACACTTTCCTGCAGCGATAATCAGTAGCAAGGC